TTATATAAAGCTTGATGTATATGTAGCAATTTCAAGTCGAGATGTTGAAATATGCAAAATCGATGGGTTATGGTGGGCCCATAAATGGGAAAGGGGATCAATCTGCCTCAATTACGACATAGGCTCAAAAAATTTGAAGGTTAGTTGGAGATAAAAATTTGACCTTTTCGGCCAATCTTGAGCAAAGAGAAAGAAATGGGATAGGCTAAAAAAGTGAGTTTGTTAGGTGTGAACCAGAAATAAAAGAATGGGTAGGTGGGCAGATCCTTTAAGAGCAGTCCAGAAATACTGAAATAGCATTACGAATACAAGTACCCAGGATGCAAGAACTGCGTAGCTGGAACTAATTTTCAATTTGACTGTTAGGTGGCAAAAACAACTAGCACGTGCGGTATGCAGTTGTCCAGCTTATTTTCTGTTTTGATCAAATATAGAATATATTCCACTCAAATGCCTTTAATCATTTTATAATCTAATGTAACACGCTGTATTATTTGTAGATCCGAGTGGGTAAATACGAAAATTTGATACCAGTTTTGCAATATATTTTAAAGGGTTTCTTTCTGTCCATTTGATTTATTATATAATGCAGAATTAAATATTACTGGAAATTAATGTAATGATAAATTCCATTTATTTTGATTTTTTGGTATTTTTGGGTTATTCGATCCAGCCTTTAGAAAAGTAAAGAAAAATGCCATTTTCGTTCAGACTCTTCTTCCTATTAGTGAGTTTTAAAGTCGTGTTAGGTGAAAGTTGCAGGCACATTCTTGAATTAGCTGCCAACTGTCGGTGCATGCAGCCATGGTTAGATGACTTGCAATGCAGACTAATGCCTCAGTAATTGTCTTTATCTTCGTTACGCCAGTAAGTACACATCTCTTTAATAATTCATTAAATGTTTTGGTGACGTGTCCATTATAATCCAAAAACGAAATATTTCCCTTTATTGCAAAGGACAATACATTTCTGTAGGCCAGAGTCATTTTAGAGTCACTTCCTGTTTTTGATTTGTACAAGTAAATACGCACTAATTCTTCCTGAAAAGTTCAATTTGTTCTGCTCAACTAACATTANTGACAATATAGACCAATTTATAAAGGTTTAGGCTACTTCTCTTAAAAAGGTTGATCTTTTAAGATGGAACCCCAAATCTTAACATGGTATCAGAGCCCATTAAACTCTAACGAGCAATTCGATCCGATTAAGACTCCAAAAGTGAGTATACGCATTTTAAAATTGGTCTGCTCAAACGAGTCATCATCTTGCGGTGACATGTTAAGAGATAGAACCCCACATCGAATAAAAATATAAATATAAATCAACTTATAAAGGATTGTGTTACTCCTCTTAATAAGGTTGACATTTTAAAATGAAACTCCAATTCTTAACATTGTATCAGAGTCCATTAAGTTCTAACGAGCAATTCGATCACATTAAAACTCCAAAATTGAGCATACGGATTTCAAGATTGGTCTGCTCAAACGAGCAACTATCTTGCGGGGGTATGTTAAGGGATAGAATTCCATATCGAATAAAGATGTAAACATAAATCAAATTATAAAGGATTTTGTTACTCCTCTTAATAAAGTTGACATTTTAAGATAGAACCTCAATTCTTAACAATAATGAATGACGAAATAAGTTATCAAGGAAACAAGTGGATTTTGCTTTCTAATGTTGCGATGCTATATTAAGATAACATTTTATTTTTTTTATCTGGCCCCAACAATTGAATGGAACCAATTAGTTTTTTTTTTTTTGGGAGCGATGGGATTTTGAGTTTCGTCCTAAAAAGGTGACGTATTAGGTAGACTAATCTAATAATTTTATAAATGTGGTTTAGGCGTAGATAGAAGCATGTTGATACTGCTTTATATAGTTAATGTGGGAGGCCCATGTTAATGCTTTTGAATGTCGATGGATTGCTCAAAATTAATGCGAGCGACCCATGCTTGACACCAATGTATGTGTATGTCAAGATCAATATACTACATAGCATTTCAAATTAAGTAGTTTCTTGTTCTTTAATATTGTCCAATGACCTATGCTTCACATTGCCATTGCCGTACCAACTGCAGTAAATGAGAAAACTTTCCAAATGGACTTTGGAAATTGTTAGAAGCTATCAAATATAAATAAAAGATTATTAAGTATTATTGTTTAGTAAAAGTTAAGCACTTATAGAGTGACACGTCAAGTCGTTGGTGGATGAGTGTATGATGTGTCATATTATTTGAATTAAATTTGTTAAACGTTGATAGATTGATTTGTCAAGTCATCAATGTTCAATAAATACTTAAAAAATTGTGATGCAATAAATTAATAAGTAGGGATCTTTTTGCAGCAAAATTCATTTTGATATAATATGGAGGTTGTCTGCTTCTGCTTAAATTCACAATAAAATTCCATTTTTGACCGTTATATTTTAAAAAGTGGGGCCCATCATCTCACATAGCGGTCAATTCTTGCGGTTACAACGGCTGGAATTTTGCTTTCTATTGCTCCCAGACAAGCTCATGCTCCATTTAGACGTGGATCCAAATTCAACTCAATTCTTGGAACTGGGATGGGTTGTCTTCACCTCTTTTCGAACCAATAGTCAATGCAAAAAATGCTATCCTTATTGAAAGAAAAAAAAATTATATAATTTAAATGGTCGGCTATAGAAAATGAAATCTTAATTGTATAAATATGGTAGGTAGGCACAGGCGTGGCTTTGTTTTTTGTAATGGGATTCATGTCAATTGCGAGTTAGATCAGTGATACAAAAGTTTATGTAATAATTTGACTATAGATTTTTTTAATTAATTAAAAATCAATTATAAGTGGTTATTTTATTTTCATAAAGTACTTTTTCCACCATTTGTAATTGTAACACAAATAAGTGAATATGGAAAAGTTATCTTATAAAAAGAATTTCTAGTTAAATTAATTGAAGGCTTTGGAGGATTCAATGTCTCTCTCTGTAAGATGGAGGCTCATTTGAACATATGAATCTTGAAATCTATGTAATTGTTTAAGTTTTAATTGAATTGAATTGAATTATTCGTTGAAATTTAATGAACTCTAATATCATTTTAAATTTGATATTTCATTTTATAATGTCAACTTTTTAAAAAATAATTCAAACTCTTGTAATCTTTTAGAGTAATGTTACTTTTTGTCGCTCACTGCAGCAGCCGTCCTATGTGACATACACATGTCAATTGTGTATTTGATGCATTAATGTGGTAGCTTTTAAGATGGATGGTACAAACTCTTATAATTTGATTTATATTTTGATATTTAATTGACGTGAAATTTATTCTGAACAAATTGTGACACGTGATAACTAATATCGTCAACAATTTATTGCAGTAAAATTTTAATATGGTACAACTTGTGCAATCGGAGCCCTATATCAATTTTATTTTTGAGTCTAGAAATCTTGTGGAAATCATAGGATATGCTTATTATGGCAAAGAAAAGAAAGTTATTCGTAACATGACTATTGTCGATTTAATAGAAAAGAAGAAATTTCATTATTATTTTTCATGGATAAGAACATGACATTAAGGTCACCTTTACAGAAGAAATTAAACGCGATACACCAAACACAGTATTGATGGATTTCACAAACTTCAACGGGCAATATAGAGCACACCAAGGCAGGAAATGAACATAACCAAAAATTTTAACTGAAATTCAAGACAACCCTTTTCTAGTTTCATGACATTTTGAGCAGGGCATTTGCATGTTCTTGCACAACCTTCCAGGCCAAGTGTACGTGCCTGTTTTCTGTGAGGCTCGCACCGACTGCGAATCGCATCACGTAAACACCTCCGATCACAGCGTGGGTCATGTATATCTTACCTGATTCATTGATGGACTCTAGTAGCTTTGAGTTGAATTCATTGGTAGCTTCATCCTTGGTGACATTGAGATTCTTTCCGATTTCTATCGGTGAAATTCTGAAACAGACCGTTGCGAAATTTCTAGGGACTACGACTTCAAACCTCTTGTCCATGCCTATGAGCCCTTCGAAATTCTTTGCCATTTTCACGTGACTTCTTAAAAACTTTCTCAGGTTGGCGACACCATAGCTACGTAGCACGAGCCACAGTTTCAGAGAACGAAATCGTCGGCTCAATGTGATTTGCCAGTCTTTGTAATCCACCACCTGCTTTGTTTCCGAGGCTTTGTTCCTCAAGTATTCTGGATAGGTCGATAGAGCTTTAACCAGGGCGCTGGGGTCCTTCACCCATAGGCAGCAACAGTCGAGAGTGGTGAAGAACCATTTGTGTGCGTTGAAACTAAAGGAATGAGCATTTTCGACGCCATCTAGAAAATGGCGAAACTCCGGGCATATGCATGCACTTCCTGCATATGCAGCATCTACGTGAACCCAAACTCCATACTCATTGGCAACATCACAGAGTGGACTCAGTTGATCAACTGCAGTCGACGATGTGGTTCCGATGGTGGCACAGAGAAATAATGGAACTAGCCCAGCTTCGACGTCGGCTTCGATAGTTGACCGGAGTGCCTCTGCGGTAAGCCCAAATGCATTTGCCTTTGTAGTCGAGACTGCTCGGAAATTGTTGGGGTTGATACCAGCAATTTGAGCAGCCTTTTGCACTGCAGAGTGGGTTTGATCGGATCCGTACACCACAAGTTTGTTAATATTCTCCCTGCCGATCTTCTTCAACATCTGATCCCTGGCAGCCACAATAGTGCACAAGATGGCCTCGCAGGTGGTGCCCTGCAAAACTCCACCACCACCGCCGGAAAACAGGAATTCATTGGGAAGCTTTAGCATTTTCCCCAGCCAATCCATCATAATGCTCTCGAGCTCAGTCGCAGCAGGCGAGGACATCCAGTTGAAACCAACAACATTAAATCCAGTGCTAAGCATTTCCCCAAGAAATCCTGCTATGCTTCCACTGGATGGAAAATAAGCAAAGTAATTTGGACTTTGCCAATGTGTGATACCAGGAACGATATCTTTCTGTACATCTTGTAGAATTTCTTCAATAGGTTCAGGATCTTGGGGAGCGGACTCGGGTAACCGCCTCCGGAGATAGCCCGGTTCGACTTGGCTTCGTACAGGATATTTCTCAACATTTTTGTAATAATCAGCTAGGAAGTCAATGACCATGTGACCTTGCCTTCTGAACTCTTCAGGGTCTAGAGGTTTAATGGTGCAGTTGAAACCATTTTCGGGTTTTTGGTTCTCAAGGCTTCCCATTTGGATTAAAAATGTCAAAGAAGAAGCTGGTTTCGCTACCTGTGAATTGAGGGTTTTCTCTTGGTAGCTATTAGAAGAGTTATATGAACAGAGCAGCCCTTGGGGGTGGATGCTTGTAATGCATTGGTCATCCCACGTATTTATATATATAGAGCAGAGTGGAAGCGTGTGAATGCGTTGGTCATCACACGGTTTACTTTTTTCAAAATCGTACTGAAACTTCGTTTGTTAGGAAGAACGTTTATTATATAAAAAACAAATATAATTTGAGGACCACATATTAAGAGCTTGTTTGATAATGATTAAAATTCAATTAAAATTGAAAATATAGTAGTTATTGAGTCCCACTCGTCTAATAAAAGTCAACTCTAACGACTATATTTTCAATTTTAATTTAATTTTAATCCCTCACAAACAATCTCTAAGTTACACCAAACAAAAGAAAAATAATGAATATGATACGAGGCATTTAAATTTGGACTGTATTTTAGCCCTTGTTTGAACTCCATTTTTTAAAATACTCATTTTTTTCAAAATTTATTTTCAACCAAGCATTTTTGAGTAAAATAAATTTACACGTAAATTGAAAATTTTTCTTTACTTTTTAA